TTTGCATGGTGTTCTCAGTCTTGCAAGCTTCCACTTTTTTCCTCCAAATGTAATAATTGTCATTATAGCCAAACACTTCAATTTTAGTTTCAGCAGACCACATGACATGCCTCAGAAATGGAAGTGCATTTGCAAACTATAACCTGGATTTTACTGTTGCTTTTGGATTATTGGCTTCCTCCTTGCTGAATAGCCTTCAGTCAGAGTCAGTACAGAACCTGTTTCACTTTAGATGATAACACTCTCTTATCATCTTCGGCCAGCATTTTCATAAGGTCTTTTGCTTTTGTTTTGGGGTTGATTTGCCCATTTCACATATTTGCACATCCTGTCTCCTTCCTTAACAGTATAAAAACTGGTGATCTCCTCTGTGTTTTATACTCATGTGCAAGTGTAAATAAGTATGTATGTAAAATTGTGGATGTCCACAATCTTCCTGGTATTTTGCCTGATTTATTCATTTTTTCCCTTGGTGTCACACAAGGAAACAGGTGTATCCTTTAAATACATCCACATATATACTTCAGTTCAACAAATGTGAATTAACCTATCACAAATTTACAAAGCCATGACATCATCATCTGTGGTTTCCCTAAATGTTTAAAGGCATAGCAATATTAATAATTATCTCATTATCTGCATCTTAAGTCACTTCAGCCCTTTGCCATGCGCAGTAAGGTGAGTGTATACCTCTTGTAAACCCACAAATGCCAAATTAATCATATTTTAAGATTAATCAAAGAGTTTACTGTGCCTACATGACCATATTGTGATGCATATACATGGGAGAAATGTTTTGTTTCTACTGTCACTCAAAATTGCAGCACCTGATGAGCTGCTTAAGCCAGCAGAAGCCAGATGCTCCGTAGGAGTATGATTCTGTATGTAGGGGCCTGTGTCTGTCCCTCTGTAAGTGGGTGTGTGTCAATCCTGTGTGTCTGGGAGGTGTTATGTCAAGGAGTACATTCTCCCTCTCTGTGGATGCATTGCTGCAGCCCTGAGCTAAACTAGCTTATTGTAACACACATGCTTGCCTTAGCCATCTCCTCAGACTGTTCCACAATGCCTGCCTTTTGGTAAAAAACACTATTCATGATCTACATAGAGCTCCACAAACAAAATATAACTGAGTATCTTGTATGTGTGAAAAAGTTTTCAATGGCCTTTTCCCCTCCAAACATTAAAATCCTCACTTTTAGGCTGGCTATCTTTGCCTGGTATTACAATTAGTTTGAAGTCCTGAAACACTGAAGTGTGACAAAGAAGCAAAAACAGAAGACATCTGCGAGTGGGTAATTACTTTTTAACATCACTCTAAATACAGTTTGAGTTTAGGGTTAGAGAAATGAAAGGATTTTAGGGTTAGTGCTTAAAAAAGCAAGCATGTGCATGCCTGCAACTGGGTAAAGACTTGAAAACGGTACTCACAGTTGGATGCTTCCGAAAACCCCTGCTTGCTCTGACTGTTAAACTATGCAGACTTAGCTACATGAGAGATGACTCATATCTTTTGCATTTTGGCTAAAGATGACCTGATGCAACAGAACTGTATTTTCCCAAAACTGTCTTTGAAGTGCTCAGAGGAAACGGTTTGCTAAAAGTACAGACACTCTCAATAAAGTGGCTGGAAAAGGTGCATGTAATCATAAGGATTTATTTTTTTTAAATAAACCATACCAAACCTAAAATTAGCAATTGTTGTGTCATCATGCATAACAATGAGCTCTTCTTTATGCTGAAGATGTTTCTTAATGACTTTGGCTGTATGTTTGGGTTCACTCACTTAGCATTTTGTAAACTGATAAAAATACTTGTACTTGTCGTCTTCCGCTTTATCCGGGACCGGGTCACGGGGGCAGCAGACTCAGCAGAGACGCCCAGACGTCCCTATCCCCAGACACTTCAAGCTCTTCCGGGGGAGGCCCGAGGTGTTCCCAGGCCAGCCGAGAGACATAGTCCCTCCAACGTGTCCTGGGCCGTCCCCTGGGCCTCCTCCCGGTGGGACGTGCCTGGAACACCTCCCGAGGAAGGCGTCCAGGAGGCATCCGATATAGATGCCCGAGCCACCTCAACTGGCTNGCCAGCCGAGAGACATAGTCCCTCCAGCGTGTCCTGGGCCGTCCCCTGGGCCTCCTCCCGGTGGGACGTGCCTGGAACACCTCCCGAGGAAGGCGTCCAGGAGGCATCCGATATAGATGCCCGAGCCTCCTCAACTGGCTCCTCTCGATATGGAGGAGCAGCGGCTCTACTCGGAGCCCTCCCGGATGGCCGAGCTCCTCGTCCTATCTCTAAGGGAGTGCCCGGCAACCCTACGGAGGAAGCTCATTTCAGCCACTTGTATCCGGAATCTTGTTCTTTCGGTCATGACCAAAAGTTGATGGCCATAGGTGAGGGTAGGAACGTAGACCGACCGGTAAATCGAGAGCTTCGCTTTTCGGCTCAGCTTTCTCTTCACCACAACGGACCGGCACAGTGACCCCATTACTGCGGCAGCCACACCGATCCGTCTGTTGATCTCCCGCACCATTCTTCCCTCACTCGTGAACAAGACCCCGAGATGCTTGAACTCCTCCACTTGAGGCAGGAACTCCCCTTCAACCTGAAGAGAGCAAGCCAACCATGGCCTCGGACTTGGAGGAGCTGATCATCCTCCAAGCCGCTTCACACCCAGCTGCGAACTGCCCCAGCGCATGCTGTAGGTCTTGGCTACAGGGGGCCAGCAGGACCACGTCATCCACCAAAAGAAGAGACAAAATCCACTGGTCCCCAAACCAGACCCCCTCCGGCCTTGGCTGCGCCTAGAAATCCTTTCCATAAAAGTTATGAACAGGACCAATGACAAAGGGCAGCCCTGCCGGAGTCCAACATGCACCGGGAACAGGTCTGACTTAGTGCCGGCAATGCGGACCAAACTCCTGCTCCGCTTGTACAGGGACCGGATGGCCCCTAATAAAGGGCCCCCGATTCCGTACTCCTGGAGCACCCCCTACAGGGCACCACCAGGGACACAGTCGAAAGCTTTCTCCATGTCCACAAAACATATGTGGATTGGTTGGGCAAACTCCCATGAACCCTCGAGTACCCTGTAGAGGGTATAGAGCTGGTCCAGTGTTCCACTGCCGGGACGAAAACCACACTGCTCCTCCTGAAGCCGAGGTTCGACTATCGGCCGGACTCTCCTCTCCAATACCCTGGCNTATAGAGCTGGTCCAGTGTTCCACGGCCGGGACAAAAACCACACTGCTCCTCCTGAAGCCGAGGTTCGACTATTGGCCGGACTCTCCTCTCCAATACCCTGGCATAGGCCTTACCAGGGAGGCTGAGAAGTGTGATCCCCCTGTAGTTGGAACACACTCTCTGGTCACCCTTCTTATGAAGGGGGACCACCACCCCAGTCTGCCAGTCCAGAGGCACTGTCCCCGACTGCCACGCAATGTTGAAGAGGCGTGTCAACCATGACACTTATAATTGACCTTTTTTATCGATTGAAGGCCTCCTCCCAATCACCTTTATAATAATCAGAATCTTGTAGTGCTAGATACCAGAAAAGATCTTAGTAAAATCAAAAGATTAGTTCAAACTTAAATCTGCCAGGGTTATTATGTTGCTGTTGTTTGACCTACTCGTCATGGATATTACTCATGCATAATAATCATGCAAAACTATACAGAAGTCACATTTGAGATAATGTCATATTCCAAGCAAATGATTGTCTGATCATCTGAAATCTGCTTTATCACTGTGACTCATACAGTGCCTTGCGGAAGTACTCGGCCCCCTTGAATTGGTCAACCTCTTGCCACATTTCAGGTTTCAAACATAAAGATATAAAATTCTATTTTTTTTGTGAAGAATCAACAACAAGTGGGACATAATTGTGAAGTGGAATGAAATTTATTGGATGTGTCAAACTTTTTTAACAAATAAAAAACTGAAAAGTGGGGCGTACAATATTATTCTGCCCCTTTACTTTCAGTGCAGGAAATGTGGCAAGAGGTTGACCAGTTCAAGGGAGCCGAGTACTTTCGCAAGGCACTGTAATTTAAAGGTGATAAACTGATCATTCTCAAATGGTGCAGTACAAGCAGATTATGTCTTTAACCATTTTCAGTTTGGGCCAAGACAGCTCAGCCACATGAATACTTGATTGATTGTGCACAATAGGACATTTTTACAAGGATGTAACAAGATTTTTGAGAGCCATTATATTATTTCCAGCTATTTTATGATCAAGACATGTTTATGGACAGCCTCAGTCATGAGACAGCTATTCTAGCTACACTGAAGGATTGATCAAATTCTTGGGGCTTAGAACGTCTTTCTTAATCTAAACATGATTAAACTGATTGGCTGATCAGTCTTCCATGATGACTCCCTTAGCTGGAAGCCCTGTGAAGGATCACACTGTGGTTTCTCCCACAGTCTCATTTCTGAACATAGCTTTGTTGGGAAAGTGTACAACTATAGGTCAGAAGGTCCCTGGGTCAGTCCTGGGTTTTGGCAAGATACTGATTCTCTATTGTGTCTGTGACTAGCTTTCTATTTCTGGTTTGCATATTGTTGTTCTTAGTGTTGCTGATTGGAATTTGACTGGTAGTTATCCACACAGTTGTGCTGATTGATTGTTCTGCTTGCGATTGGCTGAGTTGTTTTCTGTCCTGTTTATAGTTTGATATTTGATAAAAGAGGTCCACATGTAGAAGAAAACGTCCAAGTAATTGATAGAAAGTTGCACCATTGAAAAGAGTCCAGCTGCATGAAAAAAAGCTTTATATGAACTCAACATGTTTTTTCCGCTCTTTTAAGATATTCTGTATGGACATTTTGACAACATCATACCTTTCTAAGTTCAAAATAAAACAATGCTTGTCACAGAAAAAAATGAAAACGAAATGCTGAGGTTTCATCTGCTCTTCCTGAAATCACTCATCACCAGCTGTGTGTTGTTCATCTGTATGCAACTGAACCGTCCACATGTGGAAAGTGGAATACTCTTTCCTGCCAAAATAGCTCAGTTGGGAGAGCTTCAGACTGAAGATCTGAAGGACCCTGATTCAATCCTGGGTTTCAGCAAAGGATCTTCTTCAGGATGTATTATTACCAGGAAGCTTGGTCATTTGAAGAAAAAAAAAAAATAATAAACTCTCACCTTCTTTGGAATATCTTTGTTTGAGTGCTCAACCCTTGAAACAGGACATTTCCAGATACGTGCAAAGTTTCATAAAATATCAGGAAGCTGGTGAGCTTGTAATGTCTGGCTTCTTCTACAGTGAGAAAACCATTTCACATCCCAAACATACTCCCAGATCATCTGGATGCATGTTGATCAGGCCAATTCCACAAGCTTTACATTTCAGCTGTTCCTTTCTAGAAAAGAATANAGGTGAGCTTGTAATGTCTGGCTTCTTCTACAGTGAGAAAACCATTTCACATCCCAAACATACTCCCAGATCATCTGGATGTCTGTTGATCAGGCCAATTCCACAAGCTTTACATTTCAGCTGTTCCCTTCTAGAAAAGAATATTCACATGTTTTAGCAAATCAGTCCCAGGAACACAACCCCTGTCATGACATAGCTCTCTGGCTACACTGAAGGATTGCTGATGTGTCTGTGGCCTAAAAAGGTCTTCTATGTTCTAATAAAGCTTACACTTATTTGATTTCATTGGTTGATAAGTCCATGGTTAATACTTCCAGATCATCTGGATGCATGGGAACCGCCCACGTGTGGCAAGTGGAAAGGTCTTTATTGCCGAAATAGCTCAGTTGGGAGAGCGTCAGACTGAAAAACTGAAGGTCCCTCGTTCCATCCCGGGTTTCGGCAATGAATCGACTTCTTCAGGATGTATTATTATCGGGAAGCTTGGTCATTTGAAGAAAAAAAAAATAAACTCTCACCTTCTTTGGAATATCTTTATTTGAGTGCTCAACCCTTGAAACAGGACATTTCCAGATAAGTGCAAAGTTTCATAAAATATCAGGAAGCAGGTGAGCTTGTAATATCTGGCTTCTTCTACAGTGAGAAAACCATTTCACATCCCAAACATACTCCCAGATCATCTGGATGCATGTTGATCAGGCCAATTCCACAAGCTTTACATTTCAGCTGTTCCTTTCTAGAAAAGAATATTTACATGTTTTAGCAAATCAGTAACAGGAACACAACCCCTGTCATGACATAGCTCTCTGGCAACACTGAAGGATTGCTGATGTGTCTGTGGCCTAAAAAGGTCTTCTATGTTCTAATAAAGCTTACACTAATGTGATTGCATTGCTTGATCAGTCCATAGTTAATACTTCCAGATCATCTGGATGCATGGGAACCGCCCACGTGTGGCAAATGGAAAGGTCTTTACTGCCGAAATAGCTTAGTTGGGAGAGCATCAGACTGAAAAACTGAAGGTCTCTGGTTCCATCCCGGGTTTCGGCAAAGAATCGTCTTCTTCAGGATGTATTATTATCGGGAAGCTTGGTCATTTGAAGAAAAAAAAAATAAACTCTCACCTTCTTTGGAATATCTTTATTTGAGTGCTCAACCCTTGAAACAGGACATTTCCAGATAAGTGCAAAGTTTCATAAAATATCAGGAAGCAGGTGAGCTTGTAATATCTGGCTTCTTCTACAGTGAGAAAACCATTTCACATCCCAAACATACTCCCAGATCATCTGGATGCATGTTGATCAGGCCAATTCCACAAGCTTTACATTTCAGCTGTTCCTTTCTAGAAAAGAATACTTACATGTTTTAGCAAACCAGTAACAGGAACACAACTCCTTTCATGACATAGCTCTCTGGCAACACTGAAGGATCTTTCACTAAAGAATGTGTTCATTATTCTTCTTGCCTGAAAAGGTTTTCATAATCTGAACGATCTGCAGCCCTGAGGATGCTTTTAATAAACAAGGTAAGGATTTATTCAAAAGATTTAGAGAAACAGATTGCGATGATCTTGTACTAAACTGAAAACTAAACGCTCAGGTTTCATCTGCTCTTCCTGAAATCACTCATCACCAGCTGTGTGTTGTTAGCTAGTTAAGCTCTGATTGGTCAGAGTTGGTCTCTGCCAATATTTATAAAGCCTCATGCTGCTGTTGCTGGACTTTAGTATGATGGCTTTTCATGTCCTACTGGGGTATGTTGCTGGCTAACTGTTATGGAGCTGACTTTTTAATTCCAGTTGATGATTTTTGTTTTTTCTTGATTTCAGGGCTTTCCTCTTTGCCTTGCTGTTTCTGGATGTTTATGGTGTTCCTGTCAAAGGTATAATAATATGCATGTTGACTAAAGTAAACAAATGTAAGTAACAAATGTTTGGCATCTAGGTTCAGTACCTCAACACCAGAGCAGCAGTGGCACCAATGCAGGGGGTATCGTTGCCTCTCACAGGAGAGCATCTGCTGGCCACACTGTACCTGTGTCCCACAGTGCTCCTGCAGGTGTTCTCAAACAAGATCCCAGACCATCCCAATTTTTGCAGTCAGAGCTGGTGTTTGTCGGTGTGAGCGCCATGCCTGAAGCAGGACACACTACTATTGCTGGTTCTGTTCCTGTTCAAGCAGCACATGTTGGTTCTTATATTGCTGTTCCAGTTGGGTATTATGGGGCAGGTCCCTATATGCCAGGATATGATGCTGGCTCTCAACAGGCTGGAGCTGCTCAATCCCAGGTAACCTGTCTAAAATAGCTCTGTAAAATGCCATTGCCAAGTCTTTCACATTAAGAAAATCTAACTTGAATCCCATTTCCACCACCTCCAGAAGCAAAGTGTACCATTGCTCCTCAGTTCTTTGAGGAAGCATCAACCAACACTCAGGCCCAGGATCCTGGTGCCCTTCTCCCACCTCCAGGACCTGCCCTGCAGTCTGGTGAAACTTCCAATGTTGTGAAGGAAGCTGAACTTGGGAACTACCAGCAACAACTGGTGGAGTTTGGCTACCCAGTTGACCATATGGGGCCAGGCCACGGTTTTCCACTAGTGACACAGTCTTTGTGTGGGTGGCTTGTGGGGTTATCCTTCTCCCTACCCTCTTCCTTACCCATTTCCCTACCCTGATTTTGTCTACAGGCTCCTGTATGGTCTGTATCCTCCTGGCACCTACACAACCTTTAGCAGAGAGCATGAAAAGGGTACAGACTACTTTCAGGACATTCACTATCTGAAGGAATATAGTTCTGATGCTCTACAGACACCCCAGCACCCTGGATCTGGACAGCAGAAGGTGTTCCCTGGCACACCCTAGAGACCTGGAGGGAGAACACTTATGTTAATACCTGTATCTGCAGATTCACTATGTCTTGGCTCTTGGCCTAATGTGTTGTGTGGAAATATATTATGTGTGTGCATTATTATGTTCATAACCAGTGTGGGAAGTAAAATGTATAACCTGTGTTAGTATAAGACATTGTGTGGCCTGCAGAATTGTTATTGCACAAACTTGGCCTTGAGTGTGATGAAGCAGAAAAATAC